TGATTGTGGCAGGTAGAAGGTGCTGGGAGGAAGCTGAAGGCACTGATTGGCAGGGCCACCAGTGGGCAGGATTGAGGGGGTAGGAAGGGAGATCCTGGCTGCCGATGGGTACTAAGCACCCACTAATTTTTTCCCATGGGTGCTCCAGCCCTGGAGTGCCTACAAAGTTGTACCTGTGCTAATCCAACTTCTACCACTATTAGCAGTTCATCGCTCCCTACCCTATTGCTGTACTTAATATGGCTCCAGGAAGTAAGCGTCACATATTTCAACAAACATGCTTTGTCAAGTTGAACAAGCAAACAACAGGGGAGGGACTGCTCTAAACAGCACTGATAGATCAGACCCTGCAGCCTCCATGTACGGGAGAGCAGAGCACAAGAGTAAAGTCACCTTTGCCACTCCATGCATTCTGTGCAAAATTCAACTCTGGTACATGGATGAATATGACCCGCGGCACCTAATCCTACATTGACAGAATGTATTGTGTGGCCACGCCCCATACACAATTGTTGCTGGTAAGTTTCTGACCACCATTGTCTTGATAAAATGTTTGTGGCAACATTGTAAGTAAAGTTATAAGATTCCACCAGAGAGTTTTATTAACACACATTCCAAACCGAGGTTGACAAACAAATCTGTTTCAAGAAAGAAAGATCTGATGTGCTTAATTTGCATTGAAGCAATTAGAGTCTTCAAGCAGAAAGGGAAACAAAAGATGCTCAAACAGGCGAAGAAAAAGCAGCAGGGAACATCTGTTCATGTAGACAGTCTCCTGAATCTCAGCTGGAAAAGATTTCGTGGGGGGGGGGGGGGGAGGCCATTGACAAAGGAGTTTCTCTCTTCTTGTCATGGCACCAGAAGTGACATTTGTTGACCTCTGAGAGAAGGGGTCATGACTCAAGAAATTTGGTCTATAAGAGTCTGTGGTGAGAACATGGCTTACAATTTAACATAGGTAAATTAGTTAACAGTTGGGTTTTAGCCTTATTTTTCTTGTAAGCATTCTGATTTTAATGTATCATTACTTGTGTTCAATTAAACTCTTTTGGTTATTAATAAGCTTGTTTCGTTGTATTAGCCAAAACAGAGTGTTTAAATTGAAGAATTTGGGAAACTCCCCCTTTGGATGGCAAGTTATATGCCTTTAGTTTCTACTATTGAGATAAAAGGCTTTATATAAACTTGTCCAGAAGTAAGCTTGTCCAGCTGGGCAGTACAACACATATATTTTGGGAAAAATCTAGGGCTAAGAGTGTGTTGGGGTCAGCCTGAGTATAACCAAGGCTTCTCAGAGCTAAGATGTAGCTAGCTGAATGCAACGCATATGTAGGCTCTGTCTACACAGCAGTGTTATTTTGGAATAACTGAGGTTATTCTGAAATAACAAAGCGTGCGTCTGCACTACAGGCCATTATTTCAAAACAATGACAAGCTGGAGGACTTCTTACTCCAACTCCTGTAAGACTCATTTTACAAAGAGTAAGGGAACTCGAAGGACGAGTGTGCTATTTCGACTTAAGTTACGCAATTGACATAGATGAAGTTGCATGGTTTAATTTGAGTTTTGCCCTGCTGTGTAAACGTACCTGTAAACATAGCTAGGAATGACTTACATGCTGGAGGCCAGAGTCCAGGCTGGAAGCTACAGCAACAACGCATTGTAAAGGGCGTGCTATGTTACAGCGTAGGTGTGACACAGCTATTCGTTAGTCTGGATTGTACCTTGGTGTGTCACAGCCACTCACAATGCAGTCAATGGCAAAAACCTATTTACTGAGCATAACTCTCATTGAAGTCCATGGATCATGATAAGTCCCCAAAACTGTCCTCAATAACAATTATTAATCTCTTTGCCTAGACTGGAATTATCTGGAAATACCTCTAGTGCACTATGTGGAAAGTTTTATGGTGAAGTGACAAGTCATTTGTGAGATAAAGGGAAACAAAAGTCAAGATGTCAAGCAGTGTACTGTATATAAAGAAAACAATTTAAAGGAAACTAGATTTAGAAACTTTCTATAAAAGGATCAAACCAAAACCCTGGATCTGAAACCCTGAAACTTTGGCACAACAAAGGTGTTTCACACTTTGGATCCAAGTTTTGCCACTTGCATTCATCTTTTATCTTGCTACAGATATAATTTGGATGAAATCCTCAGCTGATGTAAGACATAACACCTATGAAAATCTGGCCCTTCTACTATCATATTATTGGTGAGGATTAGCTTATGTTTAGATTTCTAACATTGTCAATAAGGTTTAAACATCTGGGGAAAAAACAAGTAAAAACCTGAAAGAAAATATTCCCAGATATGCCCTCACCCGCAGTCTAAGCATATAATAACTACTTGTATGAAGGAAAGTTGAAACCTGATAGAAATTACGAATCCTGGGGATTAAATCTCTGGTCTCTCCTTTACATTAAGGTGCAAGGAAATTAACAATATCCTGAAAGAACGTGTATAAAGTTCCCTCTGGTATTAAAAGCAAGTATTGCCTTGCCTCAACTGAGTTTTTGTAAAGAACAAAAGAGCCTTTTCATATGAAAATGGAATAACTTATCCCTGCACTAAAGTTCCTTCCTTTAATATTGAATTGTCCAAGTAATAATTGTAATACATACCTGATCTAATTTATTTCTTAAAAGCCTACAGAAAATTCTCAGGATCTCCCCTAATTCAGTTTTTGGTCTAGCCTTTTTGTTGCTTATACTTTACATTTTGTTAGGTCAACTAGCGCATCCTCAGTGGGCACAGTAAGTCGTGCTGCATGGCTGCTGAGTCCTATTCAATGCCCACCCATCAACCTGAAAGACAAACACAAAAGACGTTTTCCTTTTAAAATTCCTCACCTTGAGTCACTGGCAAATGCAAAAGGGGATGAGATTGACACTGTTAGTGTCTCCTGCCCTCATACTACTGCCTATAAAAGTCTGCATAGATTTTTTTTTCACTAAAGTTGCACTAAATCCATTTGCGGGGGTTTCTTTATTGAGGGAGAATGACCTTTTGGAATTGCTACATTGTTATGCTGTGGATGGCGAAGATTTACTCTATGGCTACGTC